ACTTAACTATAACAAAAAAAACGTGATTTCAAAATTGAAAAAAGGTGAAAAGTTAGTAACTTTTGTATCATTTACCGTTTGTAAATTTTAAGGTGATACAGAGATTAATTATATTCCACCACTTATTCTATTAAAATGATGATGGAAGTATTTAGTTTTCAATTATCAATTTTATCATATAACGTATAAAGTAAAACATTATAATTGATAAAGACGCAAAATAAGATATGTATAATATTGTGTGTATGTGTGTGTGGGGAGAGAGAGAGGGGGGGTGGGGGGTATGTTTACCGTTAACCTAAGACGTACTGATATATATGTATGTGTGTCTGTGTATGCTACTGACTAGGTTGAGGTTTCGTTAATAACCATTCTGATAAATGGGTGTGGACAGATGACACCTTTGGAGCGTTTGTAGTTAATTCACTAAGAAAATTTATTGAAAAAGACATGTGTTATAGATGATTGTGTTTGTGTCTAGAATAATTCGGTTCTCATAGAAAATAATTGTTTCATGTGGAAAACGTCTAAAAAAAAATCGCACTTTGATTTCTTTTAGCAAACGTGGAGTTAGATCAAATGTTACATGACAACTTTATAAATGAGATAGACGAATCGGTAGACCACCTTTTAGCTAGATGACAATTTGCATCTCACTTATGAACATTGATTTTTGATCGGTGTGATATCGATAATTCTAATATGTTGGTTTTAATTGACAATCTAGTGAAACCATGTAAAGTTGGCAAATCACTATTGGGTGTGAAGCTCATACAAGCCATGTTATTTTCGAGATGTTGGTTCATTTAGAAGTATAAAACTGAAAAAACTACAATTGATCCTCTTAGCCACCATTATTAGTGCTTGATGAAATCATGAAAATACTTATTTATAGATCGCATCGGGCTAACATATGTAATTTGGATTGGGAAAAATGGTGCACTTATCTTCATACAATGTTAAACACGTAATTGATATATTGAAAATTGATATCTTGGAAAACTTAGTTTGTTTTTTAGGGTTTAATCAGTTGAAAAACAAAACCAATTGCACAACGATATATAATAATTTATTTTTTTTATTTGCAATTTTTTAATTATTATAACTAATTTTTAATTTGATGCATCAATGACTGTGATAACATATAATGCTTACCGGGTCCATAAAACATTAAAAGTGTTAAAATTGGTTGTCTATCGGTGATGCAGAACCATGGGTAGGGCAAGGTTGCTTCAAGCTATATCATTGAGAGTGCAAGTCAATGGATTATAAAGGGTCGAAGGTATGGCAAGCTAAAATCAAAGTAATTCATTGAGAGGGGAGTCTTGAAAGGAATCCCCGAGGTATGGTAAAGAATAAGTAGGACCATGAGACGTCAGGATCCATTTTTTTTAAGTCACATACGAGTGTTAAGTCAATTTTATCACATTCATTAGAATTTACATTTCATATCCTTCATCATATATTCATGAATTATTTCATCACATTCTTATGTGTACTTGTAATGAAAATATTACTATGGTATGATGATTGACGTCTCACTAAGCAATATGCTTGCAGTTACTATTATGAATGTGATTTTAGGAACAAGGTCTAGTAATATAGAGAACAGAACGGATTAGTCAAAGAATAAAAATTTTAGAAGACTAGTGTAGTTTTTACCACATGTTGTGGGATCCTGGCACATCTTTATGTTTATATTAAATGAGAAGATGAATGAAAAATGAGTAGATATAACTATATAGGAGAACGCTCTTCTCTCGAAAAAGAGTTTTAGTAATTTGCGTATGGGAGTAACTATATGACTCATAAGGAAGGGTGTGAAGGTATAATTCAACCATTATATTAAAACGAGTTGGTTAAAAAAGAGATCAGTTGTAACATCCGGATTTCCAGGTACCATATTCAAATTGTTTATTTT